CTCCTCGTACTCTCTCTTTACTCCCCTCCATCGGCTTTTGGTGCGCTCCTACCAGTTTTCCTCGGTTCGCCAAACCCGGGCCTGCGGTCCATCATGTACGGCCGAATACTTGGTGAGATCGCGCTATTGACGCTTGTACAATAGTCACGACTGCATGTCCTGGCGCCACAGCGGCTTGTCGGCTGGTGTACTTAACGGCCCCGGTCTCTCGTTCATTCTACAAATTCCCGGATACTGATATTACGGTCACAACTTCGCATGACTGTACATCAGTCTTGGCATGTTTAAATCCCGCCCGTCCTTCTTAGTTGCAAAGACCAGAAATTTCAACAGTATATCTCGAGTACCCTGTTCCTTACGTTGGAGTATTCACTAGTCTTTACCCTGAGGAAAGCCAATTATTGCGTGTGCTCTAATGCTGGTTGCCTCCAACCGGGTCTGGCAGGGCGTAATGACCTCGTCTCCAGGAACCTTCTCGCTCGCTCCTTGAGCCCGAATGCCCCTGATAGCGTTGTCCATGCCGTCCATTTTCTGAATTTTGCAAATAAATCGTGTACATAGTCTATCGCATATAATATACAGGGGAAAGTTCATAGTCCGGTATGTATGCGAAACTGCCGCCTATAATTGGTCGGCGCATCGTCGCAAGAGGCGATCTTGCTGGCAACCTACGAGATCGATACCCCAAATGTTAAGGACCACTACAGTAATCATCTGCACAAACGCCAACGAGGTTGGGTAAATGACGAGCACGCGGCACCAACAATAAATTCCTCAAGGATTACAGTGAACGCTATGTTGACAGTAGTTGGTGCAGCCTGTCGCCAAAACAATGTATTGGCCAAGAACGTGGGAGCAAGATACCACGGTCAATTTGCCTGGCATCGGGCGATGAACAGTCTTGACCAACAGGTCGCTCCCGGGCAGGGCTCACGTGGGACATCTGGTCGCATCCGTAGCAGTCATGGAAAGCGCAGTTTCAAATAAGCTCTAACCATCGATTTTCATCCTCACCCCAGGAGAGTTTGTGATGCCCTACTTTATTTGGCGATTTCAAGGAATTCCACGAAACATTCCATGGAATCCATGCCATTGACCTCCATGGAGTTCCACGGTGCAACCCATGAAGTGCCATGGAGTTCCATGGAACGCTGTGGAGTGTCATGGTACTCGATTGAACTCCATGGAATTCCATGACGGCCAATGATGGTGCGCCATTGAGTTCCATGGTGGTGGAGTCCACGGCTAATTCCGTGAAATTGCCACGGAACTTGGCGTGGAATTTTTCATGCATGTATTCTGTGGAGTTACATGGCTTACCAAGTTTCCATAGAATTCCACGGAAACTGTGGAAAGTTCCGTGGAATTCCACTGCACTCTTTCCACGGTTTCCAGCGCGCCTTCAACGGGTTCATTTGCGTACATACTGCTTAGATCTATTGTATACACACTGCTAAACAATAGAGTATCTGCTTTGGCAGGAGCATGAAACCGGCAAAAAACACTGAGGAGAACCTCAAACCCAAACCCAAACCCACCCGACAGTGCTAGGTTGGCGTAGGTGGCAAAGTTCTTTGGGTTGATGTGCCGGCATTGGTTGGATAGAGTACGTGCTACAGCAGTAGGTTGGCGTTGAAGCGATACACCTAGGAGGGTATTGCTTGGGTAGAGGCGCTAGGTTGCCCTGGCGTGGGTAGGTTCTAGGTGGGCCTTGGAATAGGTCTATAGGTTGCTCTTGGTGCTCGCGCAGGTCTGCATACAACGGCGGGATTGCCAAGGTATATGTAGACGATTGGAGAGTTGCGAGTACTAGGTGGTTGGTCTGTCCCCACGGAAAGCGTCCTCCTCAGTTTGACTGCTACGTACATTAGTAAATATGTTTAAAAGGTATTCATTCCTGAGGAAGAGCAGAGACCAGAAACGCTGTTAATGTAAAAAAATACACCACCACCACCACCACCAACAACAAAGAGAACAAGGACTGACGATCAGCATGTATGTACGGGCTGCATGTCCTGTCTGAGGGCCTGTGCGCACCCGGATTGTAAGTCATTCCATAAAATAAATAGAAAGACGTCAAAGGAATCTACACCGTAGAGCGGTGGCATTCGGGGCTAAACATGCCGGCATGAGAACTCTCACCCCCTCTTCTATTGTCAGGGACGTACTACCACGACCAATCTTTCTTGTTAATGCCAAGGGGGGTATTTCGTCCTGAGCGAGCAGACACCGCAAGGCAGGAAAATAATGACAAACTTTGATCGAACGTAAATAGAGCCGGTTCAAGGTTTTTGGGAACATTTTTCCCAAGAACGAATAACGGAAAGGTTAACTACATGTATGTACTTATGTACAGGCAGACCTACACTGTACACAAGAGAATTCGCGGTGGCGTTTTGGGTGGTTTTACGCTACAATATCAAGGGCACAGCCCTCTGTTTTTGAAACCCGGTATGCCCCCGCCAGATCATGCTATCACCTTGCTTGGTTTTCGTTCGTTCATGTGCATAACCACGCGACCACCGCTTGCCTCGACAGAGCCGGGTCAAGCCTTGCAACTTTGAACGGACGAAAACGAGCTGGCGGCGTGTATCGGTGCGGTGCCCGTGTGGTGTTGGAAAAAAAAATAGCTAGATGAAGTCACCATATGCTACATTACAGTACATACATGTAGTTCGGCATCCTATCGGTTCTGGTTCTTCAACAGGCCTGCAACAGCTGGCCTGCCATAAATACTTTCAACGGTCCACTGCACAGCTCATGCTTGCAGAGAGATTAAGTATTTGTACTTCTGTACTTCTCTGTTCTCTGTCCCCCCCCGAAGTGTGCCCTGCCAGCTCTCTAGAGCTCCTGTGTTTTTCAAACAACAAGCACATCCACCAGCACACACCTGTACCTCGTGGTTTCCTAGGTTCGGGCGAGGGTGGTATGTGTGGCGCTACGATTCGAGTGTGGATGTGTTGCTGATATGTTTTACTCGTCTATAGCAGTAGTAGTAGTGTTGTTGCAGCGTTCGTTGTAGCTGCTGACACAATGACTGCTGGATCTTGGGAACGATTTTCAAATTGTTGGGAACCACGATATCCTCGATATCTGGGCTTCGGCAGGGATTGCAATACCCCTCCCTTTTGCTGCCCTCTGCTCTTTGCAGCAGTGGCTTCCTACGTTCGGGCGAGTGTATGTGTGGTGCTGCGAAAGAACACATATATATGTATTGTATGTATGTATGTATGTATGTATGTATGCACACACGCGTTCATTGACATGTGCATACGTTGAGAGATTCATGATTTGGCATTGATTGGCCCCATTCCCATTCCCGAGACCTTGATATTACCCGCTGTCACTGACGTCTCTTCATTGGTCAGCCGGTTAGCGCGGGTGCTAATAATCTAGACACACCTACCTATGGACTTGCCAATACACGGCGCGAAGGGCTGCAGGGCGGCAACTCCACGACTTGCCACTACACCAGCATTTGCAAATGATCAATCAATGATCAGTGAGCACGCCTGAAGACTCAAAAGGGTTAATCCAGACGCCGTATCCACGGGCGGTAGTTCCATCATAATAATATGTCAGCCCCTTTTGGAGGAGAGTTTCTCGACACACGTGAGGGACGCACGCACGCGTGTTAGCGGTCAACCTGAACGTGCCTTAAACGTTTTTGGGCACGGGTGTTGTCACTGTGTTGAGCCCTCCAAATCCGTGTTGCTTGGCCAACTTTAGTCTGGTTACGTGACCTCTGACATCAGTTGCAACCCATTGCAAAAGTTGGTACGAGCGGTCACAGAACAGAAGGACGGTCCAGGAGATAGTTGGTGGTCGTGTGAGTGGCTCCAGATGTACATATATTGATCTGTAGTAGGAGACACCTACAGTACAGCAGTAGACTATAGCCCGAAACAAACAAACGTGATTCATTGCACCAATGGTAGCTTGAGGGGCACGTGCATATTGTGGACGCGTGTCTTCACCATACGTGGAGGGCCAAGAAAGTGATGGTGGGGCACCTACCTGCATAGATACACAGATTGCCGTAGGGATTTTCGTGGCGTACAGGCTTACCTGGACATCCCTGCGCTCGGTCCGACGGTCATCAGGGTCCATGGCAATTCGCGCGTGTCGAGCCGCAGTTCTAATATCTTGTGGTAGCTCAGGCGGGCAGTACTGCACGTTGGGGATCGAACTGCGAAGAATACAGTCGAGTGCGAAGAAGGGAAGGGGGCAGGAAAGTGGCAAAGAATGCAAGCAATGAGATAAGTGCTGAATTCAGACGGATTCATTCCGAGAACGACATGGCTGAATAGGTCAACGAAGAAGTCAGAACGGCTTGATCGGATCTTGATACAAGTAGTAGACACGTGGACACGCTGGCTTCCGCGTGGAGTTGCAAATAGAGGTACAAAGAAAGGTGTTGGTTGCGCCAAGAAGAAGCATTCTTGGAATCTTGCGTGCACGGCAAACGCATGTCAAAAAGTGCTGTCTGGGATCATACGAACAAGGCCCTGTCTACGCGACACGCGGAATACCCATGCGCACGACGACCGTGTTTATGGATAGGTTGCCTAATTTCGGGGGCGGGAAAGCGTCCACACGACTTTGAAGCGTGTTTCAAAGATTCACGGTCTCCGCCCCGGTCTCCGTACACAAACGAAAATCTAGCCCACGCCCGCACACATGCATGCACGCCCGCATATGCATGCATGCCGAGGCTTGTGCGCGACGATCGACCGCTGGGAAAAACAACGGCGGTCTGGTCTGGTGCGGTCCCGGTCTGGTTTGGTCGCCAGCGATGAGAGGCAATGAATTACCTTCCCCGCATGAATCTCACTCGCGCTCATGCTCCCCTTGACAAATCCCCCACTGAAGCACTACTGTACGAGATCAACAAAAGGCTTTGACATTTATTCATTTGCTGCGTTGAGCCCGGAAAAACAAGCGCCTACTTTCTGCGTTTCGAACGTGAGACGGACAAAAAACACCAACAGAAGTTCACAAGCGTTGCCGGGATGGTTGAAAAAAAGAATCTCGCTGGCCGCACTGCTGCTGCTGCGCTTCTTCGGCAGACATTGTTATCGGCGCTACGAAGCCTGCGCGCTGGATGGGGCGCTAGGGGGCGAAGAGATGGTGACTTCGGCGCTACGAACCAAATATATGCTGAATGGAGCGCTAGGTAGCGCATTTCCATCAGACTCTCGCCCGAAACCCAAACACACGTCATCTTTCTCTACGTAGCCGGAACCGCTCACCTAAAACGCAGCAGTGGCATTTAATAGGAGTAAAACCCAACTGTCATGAAAACTTTGGCCTGGGGCAAAGGTTGCCCGGGAAAAAAGCAGACACACCTAGGTACCCCCAGATGTAGATCGAAACGCTCACGAAAAATGGAGACACTGCATACGAGTAAATTCGACAGTAATCAAAACTTTGGCTTGGGGCAAGGGCGCCTGGAAAAACAAAACCCTCACACCCACAGGTACCTCCAGAGGACCCGAGGGGGAGGGGCACTCTAAAGCCAAGTAAAAAATTAAGATCTCAGAACAAATGTTTCGGACATTGGTCCAAAAGCGCTACGCATCCGATTTGAATTGTCATTCTGAGCCCTTCCAATACGTAGGTGCCGTATTCATTTTTCATTTTTCATTTTTCGTGGACCCTTGCTGGGGTACAGCTGTAGTACAGCAGAAAATCCGTCACGTCATATATTCTTCCCGCTACCCCGTCCGTCTAGAAGCATCAATCCTCAAGCCGTTCGCGCGGGGACCCCAACAAGACGGAGAGCGTTACAGGACGAACCGAACTCCTGCTACGTCGTGGTCTCACGGAATCCTAGATGATAGGAAGTACGTGCGAGTTCTCACACGCTTTGCCGGAGAACGTGATGACATGTTGCTGGCCTGCCTTTAAAGCCGCATCCTTTCATGAGTGTTTAAGCTCACCCCCCTGTTCTTCCATCCTACTGTTCCCCTCACCCGTTGGCCCTGAACGACGCCCCCTGCTCTGCTCGTGTGAAAACCCAACAACAGTACATAGCTCGTTCAACGGAGCTCGCCGGAAAACACACACACGAAAAACTCCCCCGCATCACCAACACCACCACAAACACTCGGGAGAAAGCACCCCCCTTGCCAAATACCTCACGGCGCCTCGGCTTGGTGATGTGAGAGCCCGGTCCGGTGACAACCCGGCGCATGGCTCCGTCCCGGCTTTGAAAGGGGTGCGAGGATGTCAACGGTCTAACAACTACGGCATGCACGGCTACGAGTACACCCCCCTCCCCCCCCCCCCTTCCCGTCCTATCTAGTCTTCCTCGTTCTCCTCCCCGTCGTCCGGAGCCCGCCCCGCCGCGGGCAACACCGCCGGCCCGTGTGGAGACCCCAAGAGGGCGTTTCGCAGGCTCGGCGAGACGAACGGACGTCGCGCGGACGCGGCCCTCCCGCTCTTGCCCGTCGCGTGCACGAAGAACACAGGCTCCGCCAAGAACCTGGGTGCGGTTTCCGGCGGAATTAGCAGCCGGCCAAATGGTTTTTGGGTAGGATGAAGGTGGGGGGGGGGCGTACTCTTATGTTTTGCATGCCTTAGCGGTTAGACGATTGACCACGCGTCCTCGAGAGGACGGAGCATTGTTCCCACAGGACCGATCACCGATGGCCAATCGTTCCTTCCTACTTTGCCAAAGGCGGCTCCAAAATGTCTTCCCTAGTCTGTCTATCCTAACGATATCCCTTCCCGCCTTTTCAAACCACTTCCTACTCCCCAGTACAGCTACCGTCCTCTCCTCTCTATTCCATGCCTCAAACATCTCCCTGTACGTCCCTTGTATTTTTCCCAGCTCAGTCATATACACTTCCCTCTCCGCTTCGTACCACGGACATTCCACGACTACGTGAACACGGTCTTCCCGCGGGGGGGGGGGGGGGGGGGG